ATGGAGACTCTGCTAATGGATTTTGGGCTTTCACCATTATCCACAGTCTTTTGCAAACAGATGCTCAGAATTTAAGGTCTAAGACTCACTGCTAGCCAGTCAATGCTGACTCATAACAACCCTATAGGGCAGGGTAGCACTATCCCTATGCATTTCTGAGACTGTAACTCTTTACAGGAGTTAGAAAGCCTCATCTTTCTCCCTCAGAGCAGCTGGTGGTTTCAAACTGCTGACCTTGTAGTTAGCAGCCCAAGTGTCACCGTGCTTCCTGCCATGTAGTGTGTGACCACCCAGATCTACAACCTGCCTTCCCCTAGACAGCCCAGGACACAGTCTGCATACCTGTGAAGCTCATGTACTTCTGGCTATTGGAAGTCTTCTTTGAGTTGTAGAACTCCAACACATCTAGAACAGCCTGCGGGTTTTTCTTCTGCTCCAACTTCGTGATATTTGACGTCTGAAGCAAGCGGGCCCACTGCTCGGGCATCCCCTGCGAGAGAGACATGGGAGGCTGTCAGGGGCAAAGAGACACAGGAGCACCTGAAGGAAAATCAGAGTTCACTTTGAGACCTGCTGGCAACTAAAGGTTAGTTTGACAGTCACTCCCTTCTGAGATGTAGTCAAGTAATAAGGCCCTCCGAGCCATAATCCCTTGTGTGATGTGTTATAACTCTGGACTCTATGCTTGTGGCTATCATCCCATTTTGGAGGGTGTTCTCTGCGGTGCTAATAGACAGGATTACGGTGGGAGTAAGTCTTGGCCTTAGTACAAGGTGTGAACGAAGCCACATCTCTTCTTTCCTTGGGAATTTAGTCTGTCTTTGCCTCAATGGCAGTGAGGAAGAGAGAATGGTCTGCAGATTGACAAGAACCACAGCTCAGTCATTCCTCTGTGTAGGAGCCATCTCAGAAGCAGGAGAAATCGAGATCCCAGGACCATCTGTCTGAGGTGGTAGAAGCCCAAGCCAGCAGCATTTCAGAAACTGTGGCATGGGGAACAAAGGAGCCATGTCACGACCAAAGGCCGAGGCAAGGAGACCAGGAGACAGAACAGAGTAGCAATGCCACGACTAGGAGACGATGAAGCAGAGCAGTGGGATGGCTTCCTGGCCCACCGAGGCAGAGGCCAAGGGACCACATGGCTGAGAAGCTGAGGACCAGCGAGAGCGCTCCGGTGGCTGGCTGAAAAGAGGTGTTGCTATGGACAGATAAACGTATCCTTCTGCTTACACAGCCTGACTGGTGGTAATTTTTTTAACTTCCCTCATAAGCTCTCATAGTTGCAAGTCTTATACAGCCACTGGAATGAATTACCAAACCCAGCGCAGAAGCAGAGTGCTGTGGAAGGACTGGTGTCAGAGTAGGCAAAGGAGGATGGAGGACGGAGCGTGTCTGACCTCTGCCTCCGGCAGTAGGAAGTGAGAGCACGTCAGATAGGGCGCTCTCCACCACCCCTACCTCCCACCATATACTTTCTCTCTAAGCCCGCAGAGCGTTGCATAGCCTCTTTATAAGACTGAGCACATTATATTAGTCATCCCTCGAGACGTTCGCTCCCTTATCAGGCTCTCCCTCCTCTGGGGCAGGGGCCATGTCTGCTTTATTTGTGCAGCACCGATGCCCAGCACAGGCCTTGATCCCATGGGGTCACTTAACAGAGGTCCACTGGAATGACTATTCAGCAGCTATTCTGGGTACCATTTTAGAGAGGCGAAGTGTCCTTCTCATGAAGAGACAGATGAGACACAGACACAGGCCTCTGGAACACAAGAAAGGGCTAGCTGTAACACGGCCCAGGCGGAACTCTGAAAGGCCAAAGGGCCCTCCTGGCCCAGGACTCACCGTGAACTCCCCTGTGACCGCGTCGAAGCCGACGTGAATCGTGTGCTCAAAATCCGAAGGAAGAGAAATCTCTGGCCGCTCCTTCTCCTTCTTCTTATTGGCTGCACGAGAAATGAGGAAGAAGACATTAGAACAAAAACGGAGATGGGAGTTAGGATCTTAAGCTTATTCTAGCTCTTTATGAGCGGTGGGTTCCCTCAGAGGGCAAGAGCCATCGACTTCACAGTATTTACTGAGCCGAGCACTGGACCTGGGTTGCAATCAATGTCCAATGCCTATTTAAAGACTTTTTTTTTTCAATCTAAAGTAAAGGGAAGGACAGAACATTTGTCAGAATGAATCCTGGTTCTTGCACTCATGAGCCGGCTGATCCAGGGCAAGTCAGTTCCGTTTTCTGGAAAGACCCTGCCAGCCTGGCCCCCAATCATCTCTCAGTTCTTATAAACCACATCCCTCCCACTGGCCCTGGGTCACGGACGGTTCTGAAGGTCACTATAAAAATGTTAGGTTTGGAAGTCCCCTTCACAAGGGAAATCACTCCTATCTGTCAGGTGCTCCCGAGACACCAGCTTCTGGCTCCTGTTCTTCACATGAATTAATTCACTTACACCTCGCAGAAGTAACCCTATCAGCCCGATCCCATCATTTTATTTTGATGATGAAGAGACTGAAGCACAGAGGTGACGTTACTGGCACAAGATCTCATAGCGATCAGGTGGCAAAGCCCAACTCTAAATCCGGGGAGTCCAGTCTGGCGTCCAAGCTGTTCACCACTATTCAATGATGAGTTTCTAGGCTAGCAACTTAGAGCATCATGAAGTCTATATACTTGAGCCACCCCATCCCATGAAGGAGGCTACTTAAAGCAGATGTACGCTTCAGTTCTTCTGATCTGGCAGAAAAAGCTTCCCGTATTACAGCTGCAATGAGTTTCGGGCTCTTGGGATTCGCGAGAGCTCAGGCAAAACCTGGCGTGTACAGACGCAATCTAACTGAGGGAGAGCCTGTCTTCCTGGATGGGAACCCACAGCACCACGAGCTTCCATCCCTTCTGCAGAAAGAATCTCCATCTTCCCAGCCAGGGCTCCTCCTCCTTCAATGTCCTAGAGAGGAGACAGAGAAGAGGGGCTTCTGGTCCAGACTCACAGGATACTCCCTCTTCCTTATCAACCAGGGGACTAGGTCCAGAAGCGAATCGCAAGTGCTAACTAACATCATTACATTCTTGCCATATTCCAAGAACTTGCGAAGAATTCTACCCAAGCGACCCCACAAAACCATCACTAATGTCCGGCTTTCTCAGACTGCACTGTACTTCCTTTTAATAGCTTGCCCGGCCATTCCTGAGTTTCAATGACAGGCTTGCCCCAAAGTATGAGGCTTTAGTCATCCAGGCAAACTAGAAACACCTAGTGGGCCCATGAAGTAAAACCAACAAATCTCCTCCTTTGAGGCAGGCAAACAGGGGTCCTGAGTCTCTAGTCTTCCCTACTACCAACCCTTCAAGGAATGCACTCGAATTTTCTCCTAACAGAAGTTATTCTCCTCATTGCCATACTCAAAGCACAACACCCTTTGGCTCCAAGACCAGCTAGAAATTTCCTTCCAGGAGATGCCCAGTATCATACAGCAGCAAGGTTCAGGTGTCAGGTCACAGACTAGATTAGAATTCACCTCTAACACAAGCCACCGGAGTCTGAGACTTGGGTGGGGGTCAAATAAGGGGTAAATGCCCTGCTTGCTTGGACCCCTCCTATCCTCAGAGATGGATGCCCCAAATAAGGTCCCCAAATCCAGTCACTGCTCCAAGGACCAAAAGATCTGAGCTGCACTGATCCAACTGCCCTACAAGGTGACCTATCTGAGCGTCGCTCCCAAACCAGCTACTCATACAAGGCAGAGTGACTGCACATGGACAGCATCTTAGAGCCAAACTTCTGAATAATTACAACAATCATTTTCATTTGTATGAGGCGTTTACCAAATACTTCCTATTCATTAACTGATTAGAACCTCGAAGGAAATGTCTGATTATGGTGCCCGTTTGACAGAGGAGAAAAGTAGGTTCCAAGAAGTTAAGCGGCTCAGCCAGGATCACAGAGCAAGACAGAAGCAGACTGGCGCGGGAACGAAGGTCTTTCCCTCCCCTCCCCCTCGTACGGACTGCTGTTGTTCGTGACTCTGTTTTCCCCCCTTTCTCTCCCAACGTGCTCTTATACCAGTCTCCCAAGTTCTTCCTGATTCCCTCTTCCAGGCATTGCTCAAGCGCACCCAGTCCTCTGCCTTGGCTGTCACCCTCCCTCGATCCCAGGCATTTGATCTGCTGCCTGAATTGTCATAACCACAACCTGTCCGAGCATCCTGGACCCCTTCCGTACAAGTAGCAGCCGGATGTTCTGTCGCCTTGTCATTCACACCGACACTCGCATCACTGGGGAGCCTACTGGAAATGCAGCAACTCGAGCTCTAGCCTGAACCTCGATAAGACAGCAGGCGGTTCACAAGCACGAAACCGGCTGAGAAGCTCTGCTGGCTGCCGACTCTGAGAGTCCGTCTCGGAAACTCACAGGGCGGTTCGGTTCGACTCTGTGCTAGGGGGTCACTACGAGTCAGAATCACTGGTCGGCAACGAGCTTCGCTTTTTTCTTTTTTTGGCGTTCTACATACTTGGTCCCTTTCCCTGCATCCCCTACTACTTACTCATGTTTCGTCCACTCTACACCAGCCCCACGGAACCAGCTGTGGTTCCCCAAACGTAAGAGACTCGTTCACACCGCTTCATTTTCTCAGGCTACCCCTGTGGCCTATTTACCCCGCCTTTCCCCTTGCCCTTCCCGTCTTGTACCCCCCACCCACTCTGCTCCCCGCTTATAGCGTAGCCCCTCTATGAAGGTTTCTCTGCTCTCCACACCGGGCATTACTTCACCCTCCTTCTGCTACCCTGGCATCAGTGCAGTAAGTGCCCATCTGAAGCCTTTACCTTCCCTACACACGCGATCCAGGGAAGGGCAGAGTCCTGTCATCACGCATGCCCAGGGACCAGCGCAAACCTGCACACAACAGGTGCGCAGACACGAGTGAAGAAAGAAAGGAGCCCAGGAGCCGACGTGGACCTCAGCTAGATACGGAGGCTCAGGAAGTGAAGACCCACAAACTCTCTCCAGGGCAGAAATAAGTATTTCCTTTCCCCAGCGGCTGCCTCGCTTCTGAAGCACTCAGCCCAGTGCAGCTTCCTTTCCCCTGGAGAGCAGCCTCCTGAGCTTCTGTAGTCTGTCAGCCTCCTTGCCTCACAGAACCGTCACATCCTGACGGGAGCGTTTGACTTTGTGCATGGAAAACTGAGGTCTAGGCTTACCTGTAGTCAGTAACTCCAATCCAAGAACAGGTAAGGCTGTTAAGCCAAAGACCTCTCTATCTACGCTACCACTCAACGTTCCCTAAAGAATTTCACGTTGAGTCAAGAAACATTAGCAGAGTTAGAAGAAAGAGCATGAAACGAGAACTCAAGGAGCACAACATGCATACTCCTCCCCTCCAAACGCTAGGCGATAGTTATCACTGAAATCGTACAAACTAGGAAACGTACGAACCGCTCAGTAATTTGCCAAAGCACACACCAGGGACCTTCAAAAAGTTTGTGGAAACACTCCATTATTCTTCCATCCCATGGTTCCACGAACATTTTGAAGTCCATTTGCAGTTAATGAGAGAAGAGATTGGAACCCAGGTCTGACTCCAAAGCTTCTTCAGTCAGTATTTTAATGAGAACCACCTGCTTGCAGACCGATGGCTCGAGTTGAAGCTGTTAATAATGCACATGACCATGCTCGTTCCAAGGGCAGCTCGTTGAGCATGAGAAGGCCAAGGGGCATCAAGCAGCCACGTGTGACACGAGTCCCTGTCTGTCTTACTCAGAGCTCAGCTGGATGGGACACACTTTCTAGTGCCACTCTCGCAGTTAGTACCTACAAGGGTGCACCAAAGAACAATGATTTTTTTAATATGTTTCAGAATATTTGGACAATTGAGAGTAAATAAAAAAGTATCACAACTAGGGTTTCAGTTCACGTATGTATGGGTTTATCCCACACAAAATGTTTTTAAACATGTCTTTGGGATCAAGAGAAGACTTGCTGGCACCTAGTCAAGTCTCACAGCAACCCTGTTTTTGTGGGAATAGAAATCCTCATCTTTCTCCTGCAGAGTGGCTGGTGAGTTCAAACCACTGACCTTGTGGTTAGCAGCCCACTGTGGATCTTACTGCGCCACCAGGGCTCGTTAGGGTGCCTTAAAAAAAAAAGGTACAATCGAAACCGTGGCTTCTGAGCAGATCTGCCGGCCAGTCAAATTCAAGGCAGAGCGATCAGCTCAGAAGGTTATGACGACTTTTTCTGAGGATCCCAAGGGGTCATCGTGGAAGATGTTCTTGCGGGACACAGGATCACGGGGGCTTATTATGAAGCCGTTTCAAGAACACTGAAAAGTGCATTGATGAGGTCAAAGAGGCCGACAACGTTGGGCCAAATTTTGGGTTTCCATCACGACAGCGCACCTGCTCCTGCTTCTAAGGGTAGCAAGGGTCAACTAAGGAGCATTTCACTGGGAAACCAGGCCCTCCACTCTACACCCCCAATCTGACCACTTCCCTCTGCTCTCTACACTCAGCGCACAAAAGTCCCTGCAGGATTGCCAACACCGCCGGTCTGACGCGGTGCAAACGGATTTCTTGGGGGGAAGGGTTCAGGAGACGGCAGGACCTCAGAAGAGTCTAGACCTCAAGGAAGCTAAGAAAGGAACACTGCCGATTTTTACATTTTTGCCTAGTAAAGGTTTCCGTGTGACTAGAGAACTTGGACCGAAGGAACGAAAGCAGAAAAATTAGTGGGCAGCCTCTCCCACCCCCCAATCCCAACGTCAACCCTCTCTTTGGGGAACTCGTTTTGCCTTTGTGATAAGCACGGAACAGGAGGCTGGGATTGCAAAATACCATCTTTTAATATAGCCACCAAAGTTTCAGCCCAGGCTGTGGGCCTTTTAAAAATGTCTTTTAAAGCAGCGCCTTTCATTGGCTCAGCTGAGCTAATCTGGGCTCCAGGCAGTACAACGTTCCAAACCCAGAGAGATAAACACTGACGTCGTCCAGTTTTAAAATAAACTTTGCTAAAGTCTTCCCAAGCTGGGAGAATTCCACTTTGGTTGGTTGGGGGTGGGGGGGGGGCATGCAGCCAGAACATAGATGCAATAAACCAGAGGCTCCAGGTCCTAACCACAGGGCTCTGGCTTGCCCACACGGAATTCTGTAACTCAGCGCCAGGTGTTTATTACAGACCCGCAATCGCAGCTTCTCCTTCCAATCATGCTTCCCGGGCATGAAAGGAAGCCGGGCTGGAGGTCAGTATTGGGCAAGGCCCACAGACATTCCAGCCACTGCTGGCTCAAGTCTCCACCACTACAGCCCACAGAGAATGCTTCCATCTCAGCTCCCAACTCTCCTTCAGGACCCAAAACTACCCTTCTGCAAAGTCTCACTCCAGAAACCTAGTTGGAACCCAGGCATATGTATTTTTTTTAAAGCACCACACGTACGTCAGTCGGACGTACAGCCAGGGTTGAGAGGGAACACAGCGAGGTGTAGCAGCAACTTCAAGAACACTTCCTGCTGTGAGTTGCCGTTTTGACTCAACACCGCCCCCGTCCTGTGCCATCCTCAATTGTTCCTGTGTTGCAGCCACTGTGCGAATCAAGCAGACTTAGGTCCACACTAAGTCCCTCCCCTTTCAGTTCCTAAATCCTTGAGCCTCCCCAGCCGAAGATGGGGTGTTGTGGTGGCCAGACAGAACAACACACAAGATTCCCAGTTTTGAAAAATCTCAGTGATCACTTTCAGCAAGTGCTTCTAATCCGTTTTGCCAAGTGACCATTAGTCCTGAGGCAGACTGGATGGGAATGATGGCTCCCACCTTGCAGAGGGCGGCCTTTCCTTTCTCCGGTGCCCTCATCAGGCTGAAGCACAAAAGCTTTAAGTTAGGCTCACATCCATCAGGCAGGAATATTATTATCTTTTCTAATTTGAGTTAGCAACAACAACTAAAACTATTTTAAAAGTCCTCTCTCCTCACATGTCGACGCTTGGGCTGAAGCCAGTCTATTTATTTAGAGAGATCAAGAACGAGGGCAGGTAAAGTAAAATAGCAAAAATAAAAACTCTAGATTGAGGGACAAACAAAATGGCTTTACAAGGGAGCTTCAAAAAGCTTATTGAGAAATTCCATTATCTTGTCATTCCATTTGTCCATGAACTTTTGGAAGCCCGATTGTATAAGTAAGAGAAAGTTCCAAGACAGAGCAACACCACCCGGAACACAGCCCCTACACAGAGGAAGTGAACCAAACTCACTGCCATCGAGTCAATGCCGGCTCACGGTGACCCTGGAGAATGGGGTAGAACTGCCCTTGAGTTTCCAAGACTAACTCTTTATAGGAGTACAAGCCCCATCTTTCTCCCAAGAGCAGCTCCTGGTTTCAAACTGTGGACCCCATGCTTTGCAGGCCGGCACATAACCACTACGCCAGTAAGGCTACTCAAGGAAGTTAACAGCGGATATAAATCAGCTATATACAGGTAAGAAAAACTACCTATACTGGTAGCCATACCTGAAGGTGGAGTAGGTCCACAAAAATACAAGCCCCAAACTCTCTTTAAAACTCTTAGTAGCTCTCATTTCTGTTCATGAACAAAGATCTACTCTACTAGATCACTGTCTATTCCACATTGCTTCGTAAAGATTTTACAAAATCACAGGTGTTCAGCATTCGTTTTGCACTTCAAATCGATTGTGTCTGAAGCCGACATCGTCCCTGCTCTCCAACCACCAGGCCTCCAGACTTGTCCCTCTTCAAGGACTCTCCATTTGGTCAACGATACAATCATCTACCATTTCCGCCGACCTACAGTGGTGCAGTAATATTTTTCTGCACTTCGCCATTGTTCTACTTGTGGCATTTGCCCAACTTTTTCAAGTTCCTTTGAATTCCAATTCTGATGTGATCAAGTAGTCTATTAGCTATGGCTCCAAGCTCATTAACAAAGGAGTGACGGCATTTGAGGACTAGCATTTGAGTGTCTTCCACACAGAAATTCACATTTCTATATAGAAGTTACTGTATTAGGAACTTCACATGTCATCTTCACAACACTCATGTGAGATAGCATCCCGATTTTAGAGACAAGAAAACTAAAGGTAAGAGGGGTTGATTAACATATCTGGTACAATGGAGGCTGCAAACAATGGGCTCAAAGGTAACAGTTTAGGGCAGTGGTTTGTTGTGTTGTACCCAGGGTCTTGTGAGTCAGAACCAACTGCACAGCCCAGAGCAACAACAAGGTCACACAACTGTTAAGTAATGAATTCACAATTAGGAATAACCACACCAAACACACTCTTAGTGAGTCGATCCTGACTTACGGGGACCCTGTAGGACAGAGAACTTTCCAACTGGGGAGACGTATACCCTAGCATGCATTCTTTAGGGAAGCAGATCACTAGGGTTTCCTCCTCCCACAGAGATACAGGGTTCCAGCCTCTAACCTCTCGGTTAACCACAGTGCCACCAAGGTTCCTTGGTTTTGCACCTGGTCTAAGTGAACAGCTCATGATAACTATGTACAGAAAGAGCCCCCCCCCCCCCAGCATTATGCATAAGAACAGGCCATGCAAAGATGACTGAGAATTCTACTGAAGAGCAACAATTAACATTGTAGGGGTCAAAAGAGAAGTCATCTCTCTGTCCAGATCCCAAGGCTCTCAGGTACTTCATCAGAGGCCTTGTTAAATCCTAGTGGCTCTTCCAGAGGCACATGTCAATGAAAGGATATGAGGCTGCTTGCCAAGACTTAGTGAATTCAGACTTAGGCCTGGTATCTCTGCTTCCTTTTCTCAGCAACTACTTGCCCCACTGTTATTACTTCACTTCTGACTCACAGCGACCCTATAGGACAGGGTAGAATGGCCCTGGTGGGTTTCCCAGACTATAACCTTTTTTTCAATTAATCATTTTATTGGGGGGCTCTTACAAATCTTATAACAATCCATCATTCAGTTGTATGAAGCACATTTGTACATATGTTCCCATCAACATTTCCAAACATTTTCTTCCTACGTGAGCCCTTGGTGTCAGCGCCTCTTTTTGCCCCTCCCTCCCCCACCCTGAGACTGTAACTCTTTACAGAAGGAAAAGGCCCGTCTTTCCCCCAGCTTATTCGATTGACTCCTCATTTCGGGGTATGGGACCTGAAGATCCGCATAAAGAAGACGCAATCGAGAATACGGAGGGAAAACATTCCAACTGAAACTAGTTTGGGATGAAAACATTTCCAAATGAAAACATTTCAAAATTGCTTGTATTTTGGATGTCATAACCCATTTTGAAGAATTTTTTAAATATGTAAATAATGGTTTCAGGTTGTCTAAAATCTAACAAAATCATAATTATGCTCCAAGAATTTTGCTCAGATATAGGAAATAGCAGGGGGTGATGGTTTGTTTTTAAATGGATCAGTTTTCCTTTTGACCTCAGCCACTTTAAGAAGAGAAGAAAAATGAGATATTTAACAACTGGTGGTGGGTGGACAAGTATTATAAAAAATAAACTCAAAGAAAGGCAGAGCCTTTACCAGGCTACCATTTTGCTTGTTTTTGCATTGAAACACTGAGAAAACGCAATACTGTACTTTTGTCTCCAGGGAGGATGGATCGGTAAAAGCGGTCCTTCTTTTTCTTCTCCTCGGGGTTGGGAGGCAGCGGTTTAGAACCGTGGTTTAGGGTTCCAGCATCTTTGCTTCCAGCTCCAATCATCGTGCTGGTGTTTCTCATCGGAGGGGCGGGGGGCTTATCTTGAATGTCTAGGCCGTTATTGGACATTGTCACCACCAGCCACAGCTACTGTAATCAGAAAGAACATCAGAATGCGTTTATTACGTTCGAGCAAAGGCAAACATGTTTCAGTTGCTTAAATAATCCAAGCAATATAACCAACTGTGATAGTTACATAACTGCATGTCAACTTGCTATCTAGAAGTGTAGGGTGGAGTCTAGCCTGCTTGAGGGTATGGCCTTCTCGTAAGGAGGGTCCTGGCAACCTCCCCCTCCCTCTCTGCTTTTACCTCCCTGTTAGCGAGCCATGCGAGACCTGTCAGAGCCCTGTGGCACTTCCACCACCATTAGAACCACAAGACTCTTCACCCACTAGCCTGTGACTTTCCTGCATTCTGTATCATTGCATGTGGCTGTGTGAATCTGAAGAGGGCCTTAGGGAATTGAGCTGGACTGGGCTAGGATGTTTTACTGATGTACAATTACTTCTTGATATAAAACTCTTTGATAGATAGATAGACAGACAGACAGACAGACAGACATGGATATAGCTATATGAGTGTCTCTGGATTTCTTTCTCTAGTCAATGCAGCCTAACACAGCAACCCTTCCCCTGGTGCCCCTTCAAGATCTTCCACTGCATATATATCCTGACTACTGCTATTTGCTTGCATGATGATGCAGGCAACCTTGCCCCAGAATGTAGATGCCTACCCTGTGCCAAGCCCTGTTCAAAATTCCCAAGGACATATACTTTAGAATCAGTACCCGTATTTGTCCATATGAAGCTTAATTAAAATTAAATTAAATGTAATTTCTCTGCCACCTCTAACTTTGTAACTTTACCAGTTTACTCTATGGGTCAAAGGCCAGCAAAGCTTCCTGGTTCTGTAAACAGTTTTATTGGGAAAAAGCCACATCCACTCATTTACTTATTATCTATGGCTTCTTTGCTGCACAAGACTTCTTTAAAGTCTCAAAAAGCAAGGACGCTACTTTGAAGACAAAGTATGCCTGATCCAAGCCATGGCCCTTTCAACCACCTCATAAGCATGTGAAAGCTGGACATTCAATAAGGAAAACCAAAGAAGAAGAGAATTATTTGAATTATGGTGCTGGCGAAGCATATAGAAAGAACCATGGACTGCCAAAAGAACAAACAAATCTGTCTTTGTAAAAGCACAGCCAGCGGGGGATAACATGAGGAGCTGATACCAAGGGCTCAAGGAGAAAGAAAATGTTTTGAAAATGATGATGGCAACACATGTACAAATGTGCTTGACACAATGGATGGATGTATGGATAGTGATAAGAGCTATACGAGCCCCCAATAAAATAATTTAATTAAAAAAAAAAAGTACAGCCAGAATGCTCCTTAGAGGCAAGGATAGTGAGACTTGGTCTCACGTACTTTGGACATGTAGTCGGGAGAGACCAGTCCCTGGAGAAGGACATCATGCTTGGTAAAGTAACCGAGCAGCGAAAAAGAGGAAGCCCTTCGACAAGATGGATTGTCACAGTGGCTGCATCAATGGGCTCACACGTAAGAGCAGTCGGGAGGCTGGCACAGGGCTGGGCAGTGTTTCGTTCTGCTGTGCACAGGGTCGCATGAGTCGGGGCCAACCCAAAGGCACTCACAACAACACATGGCTTCTTTCCACAGCAGGGTCAAGTAGCTGCAATGATGAGTGGTTTATGAATAGGACTGGGTAACCACAAAAGTTTAATGTGTCTACTATCTCGTCTTTCACAGAAGTCTGCCAACGATGTCATCTCTGCTCTAAAATTCCACTTTGCCCCAAGTACACGATGGTGAATGTTATAATCACCCTATCCTATATGGTACTAAATAAACTGTCAACCTCAAATGTCTTTACAACTAGAAGGGCCAAAAATCTAAAGGAAGGAAAGAAATCCCTACAGCACAGTAATTTACAAAGACAAATGCTATTATCTTAAAATTAGTAAGTGCCCTTAACCATGAGTAGATATGAATGGATCCATATCCACCATTTCTCTACTTACCACCTCTTCCTGAATTCCAAGATGGGAGAAAGGGAGGGTGGGTGGGGAGGAACTAACCCAGGGACAAGGGAACAACAAGTGAACTATAATCAATGGAAGGAAGGTCGGCGTAGGAGGCCTAGTGGGGCTCAATCAAGGGCAATGTAGCAGCCAGGAATTACTAAACCCGAAGGAAGGCCGAACATGATGGTGGGACAAGAGGAAAGTAAACGGAAATAGAGGAAAGAACAAGATGGCAAAGGACATTTATAGAGGCCTAAATACAGACATGTACATATGTAAATACATGTATGACGAAAGGGGAATAGAACTATGTACTCATATCTATATGTTAAGAATTAAGGTTGCAGATGGACACTGAGCCTCGACTCAAGTACTCCCTTAACACAACAACACTTTGTTCTAACAATCCGGCATACTGTAATGCTCACTTACCAGACACAATGGGTGCATAAGCAAATGTGAAGAAAGTTGATGGTGCCCGGCTATCAGGAGATATAGTGTCTGGGGGTCTTAAAGGCTTGAAGATAAACAAGCAGCCACCTAGCTCAGAAGCAACAAAGCCCACATGGAATAAGCACACCAGCCTGTGTGATCGTGAGGTGTCAATGGGATCAGGTATCAGGCATCTAAGACCCAGAACAAAACCATACCCAAGGTGAATTGGGGGGAGGGGGCATGGAGTGGAGACCCAATGCCCATCTGTAGACAATTGGACATCCCCTCACAGAGAAGTCGCAGGGAAGAGATGAGCCAGTCAGGGTGCAGTATAGCACCGATGAAACACACAACTTTCCTCTACCTCTTTGGTGCTTCCTTCATCCCATTATCATGACCTCAATTCTACCTTACAAATCAGATTAGACCAGAGCATGCATACTGCTACAGATAAGAGCCTGCAACTCAGGAAATCCAGGCTAGATAAACCCCTCAGGGCCAACAATGAGAGTAGAGATACCAGTAGGATTAGGGGATGGTGATGGGTAGAAAGGGGGACTAGATCACAAGGATCAATCTAGAACCCCCTCCCAGGTGGACGAGTAATGGAAAGGTGGGTGAGGGGCGACGCAGGACAATGTAAGATATGGAAATAATAATCTATAACTTATCAAGGGTTCATGAAGGAGGGAGGGCAGGGAAGGGAGGGGGAAGAAATGGGGAGCTGTATCAGGGGCTCAAGTGGGAAGACAATACTTTGAAAATGATGATGGCGGCATATGTGCACATGTGCTTGACACACTGGATGAATGTATGGATTGTGATAAGAGATGTAAGGGCCCCCAATAAAAGTGTTTTTTTAAAAAGCTGAATTCCAGAATAAAAGAGTTAATAAAGTTTCTCCTTTTTCTCCCATGCTACAGGGTAAATTGGGTCCTTAACTGTGACGATTTAGGAGGTCAGTTCCTGGAGTCACACACAATGCGCTTTAGAGACACCTAACATGATGTCCAACAAGAGCTCTTTAGCTACATAGACACCATGGCTTGGCCCCCATAAATCTGGATTCAGTATGGCTGTGTTCGGCCCAAAAATCTGTATTTTTTTTTCTAATTAGCGATTTCTATGCACAACCAGATTTGAAAAACCACTGCACCAATGAACACTTACTCAACAATACGAAGAACAAACTGCAAACGCCATAGATGTTGTTAACCTTTTCTAATACACGAGGAGCTCACTGACCTCTGCTTCCTCCTGCTCGGTCCTTTCATGTCACCACTTCCCGGCTTCAAACCGTTTACTGACATCCCAGAATAAACCCTCAACTCTTTCGCTTGCCCTCCAGCACCGTCTAGCACCTCCACCCGTGTCCTCTCCCGTCACCGTCAAGTCCACTCTAACAGTGACTCTACCAAGCGGAGCAGAACTGGCCCCAGAGGGTTTCCAAATGTGTGGTCTTTACATCTCCTCCCCAGAAAGGATGGCAGGGTCAAACCACCAACCTTTTGGTTAGCAGACGTGTGCTTAACCATGATGCCACCAGGAATCCTTCCCGGACACTCTAGGCCAACTTCTTCAAGGTCCTCAAGGGTAGCAGCACTCTGCCGCCCATTCCTTTGAACGATGTGTGCCCTCTGCCTAGAAATGCAGGTTTCCTTATTGTCGGGCTGGGAGCTCACTCGGCCTGAGGCTCCCTTGGCTGTCACGTCTTCTGTGAAGCCCTTTGGAAATGTTCTCACCTCCAAGAAATGTGTTGTCCCGGCTTAGCTGGGGCTCCCAAGACAATGGGTGTATTCCCAACTGGCACATTTATTTTAACGACGCTGCAATAACTGGTTTACAGGTAAGCCTTCCCCAGAAGCCAAGAAGGCTTCTCACCAGCTGGACCTGGGTGTGTCACCTCGGAGTCCAGCAAATCCCTAGTGTGGGATCTGATTCACAACACATTTGATAAGTGTTTCAATGAATCAAAAGTTTGCCCAGCAATCTATCCCTTGCCTTGAAGGGGTTTATAGTGAAGAAAGTAAGTCATGGGTGTGGTAGAGGGCATGAACATGGAGGAATAAGAATTCAGCAGGACAGCACTGCTTCCAAGTTGGGGAGGAAGGACGTTCAGAGTCATGGCTTTTTAGGAGAAGCAGCTTCTGAACTAGCCCAGAAATGTTTATAATGGATTCGGCATAAGAACCTCAAAAGTATTTACAATGAGTAACCGCTAGGCATGCATCTGTTTAAAGACACATGTTTAAATGCTTCCTACTGAGAAGACGACTTTTAAAAATGCCCGAGATAGAGCAAAACACAAAAGGCTGCACTCCTGTGTTCCAGAGTCTCTGCGGCTGCTCCTTGCACCGAGTTTCTGCTGGAAATTCTACTAAGTCACTCTTGCACTCGTAATGATTAAGAATCATTAGTCATATCTAGTGTACTGGACACTCCTTCTTCAAAAGACTCCTTAGAATGTGGACTGGAGCCCGGTGTTGGGATGATTCCTAACTAGTCCTACAGTCTATTTTGTCCCCTACTAAACTATAAGCTTTTAGAAGGACCTTCTAGAGCTCCACGCAGCCTACAAGTCTCCAACTACCTCCACTGTCTCATCA